TCTTCGAAAGAGTAGCCAGATGCAGATCGTCATAGGAATTTGTAGGAAAAGAAGAGATCCCAATTGAAAACTCTTCTTCCAAAGTAGGCAGATGCAGATCGTCGTAGGAATTTGTAGACAAAGAAGAGATCCAAATTGAAAACTCCTCTTCCAAAGAGTTGCCAGATGCAGATCGTCATAGGAATTTATAGACAAAGAAGAGATCCTAATTGAAAACTCTTTTTCCAAAGAGTAGCCAGACGCAGATCGTCATAGGAATTTGTAGGGAAAGGGGCGATCCTACTTGGAAACTCCTCTTTCAAAGAGTTGCCAGATGCGGATCGTCAAAGGACTTTGTCGGGAAAGGGGCGATCCTAATTGAAAACTCTTCTTCCAAAGAGTTGCCAGATGCAGATCGTCATAGGAATTTGTAGGGAAAGAAGAGATCCTAATTGAAAACTCTTCTTCCAAAGAGTTGCCAGATGCAGATCGTCATAGGAATTTGTAGGGGAAAGGGGCGATCCTACTTGAAAACTCCTCTTCGAAAGAGTAGCCAGATGCAGATCGTCATAGGAATTTATAGGAAAAGAAGAGATCATAATTGAAAACTCCCCTTACAAAGAGTTGCTAGATGCAGATCGTCATAGGAATTTGTAGGCAAAGGTGCGATCTTAATTGAAAACTCCTCTTTCAAAGAGTTGCCAGATGCAGATCGTCTTAGGAATTTGTAGGGAAAGAAGAGATCCTAATTGAAAACTCCTCTTTCAAAGAATTGCCAGATGCAGATCGTCATAGGAATTTGTAGGGAAAAGGGCGATCCTACTTGAAAATTCTCTTTGAAAGAGTAGCCAGATGCAGATCGTCAAAGGAATTTACAGGAAAAGGTGGGATCCTAATTGAAAACTGTTCTTCTAAACGGCAGCCAATTGCAGATCGTCATAGGAATTTTTAGGAAAAGAATGGATCCTAATTGAAAACTCCTCTTCCAAAGAGTAGGCAGATGCAGATCGTCCTAGGAATTTGCAGGGAAAAGAGAGATCCTAATTGAAAACTCCTCTTCCAAAGAGTAGGCAGATGTGGATCATCATAGAAATTTACAGGAAAAGAATAGATCCTAATTGAAAACTCCTCTTCCAAAGAGAAGCCAGATGCAGATCGTCATAGGAATTTGTAGGAAAAGAATAGATCCTAATTGAAAACTCCTCTGCAAAGAGTAGCCAGATGCAGATCGTCATAGGAATTTGTAGGGAAAGGAGAGATCCTAATTGAAAACTCTGCTTCCAAAGAGTAGGCAGATGCAGATCGTCTTAGGAAATTGTAGGAAAGGAGTAGATCCTAATTGAAAACTCCTCTTCCAAAGAATAGGCAGATGCAGATCGTCATAGAAATTTGCAGGAAAAGAATAGATCCTAATTAAAAACTCCTCTTCCAAAGAGTAGCTCGATGCAGATCGTCATAGAAGTTTGTAGGAAAGGAGTAGCTCCTAATTGAAAACTCCTCTTCCAAAAAGTAGGCAGATGCAGATCGTCATAGGAATGGGTAGGAAAATAATAGATCCTAATTGAAAACTCCTCTTCCCAAGAGTAGCCAGATGCAGATCGTCATAGAAATTTACAGGAAAAGAATAGATCCTAATTTAAAACTCCTCTTCCAAAGAGTAGCTCGATGCAGATCGTCATAGAAATTTACAGGAAAAGAATAGATCCTAATTGAAAACTCCTCTTCCAAAGAGTAGCCAGATGCAGATCGTCATAGGAATTTGTAGGGAAAGGAGAGATCCTAATTGAAAACTCCTCTTCCAAAAAGTCGGCAGATGCAGATCGTCATAGGAATTTACAGGAAAAGAATAGATTCCTAATTGAAAACTCTTCTTCTAAACGGCAGCCAATTGCAGATCGTCATAGAAATTTGGAGAAAAAGAGTAGATCCTAATTGAAAACTCTTCTTACAAAAGAGTAGCCAGATGCAGACCGTCATAGGAATTTACAGGAAAAGAATAGATCCTAATTGAAAACTCTTCTTCTAAACGGCAGCCAATTGCAGATCGTCATAGAAATTTGTAGGAAAGGAGTAGATCCTAATTGAAAACTCCTCCCGCAAAGAGTAGGCAGATGCAGATCGTCATAGAAATTTGCAGGAAAAGAATAGATCCTAATTAAAAACTCCTCTTCCAGAGAGTAGGCACATGCAGATCGTCATAGGAGTTTATAGGAAAATTATAGACCCACGAATCAAAACTTTTCGCCCGAAGAAGTAGTTAGGTGCAGAACCGATGCAGAGCGTCACAGAAACATACGTAAAACAGTAAACTCCTAGGGCAGACGGAAGTCTTCGTCAAAGTTCACCTGATGTCCTTTTTTTTTGGCTCGTAACTGATAGTGGTGCTTCGTTGCCCCCCGGGCACTTTCCGACGCGTCGTGTGACACCTGCCACCGATCCTTTGAGCACCAGCTTCACATCCTGGTTTGGGCAACCACATGATGAATGCAGGCAAAGAAGGAGTGCCACCAAGGATTGATATTTCCTTTGCGAAGCCCTCAATGCCATCAATATTCAACCTTGCTATTGTGCGTGACGGCGCAGAAGCTAGCCCAAGCAGTCCCGTCCAAGACAGTGAATTGATTGAGATCGCATCCTCACAGGACAGCCTGTGTCAGCATGAGTCTGGCTTGCCAAGCGCGTCTGCAGACGTAGATTTTGAGCGCTCGCGCTCGCGTGGACAGTTGCGGGATCTCTGTCGCGCGGGCCTACGTGCCGCAATGGATCAGAGCGAATCAGGCGCCTTAGTTCCCATGGGCGAACCAGATGCAGATGCGGATGGTGCATTGTCGCAAACATTCAATTCGTTGGCTTCAAGTTTGTGTTCCGTCACAGCTGCAATGGAAGGTCACCAAAAAATGGCAGAACTTCAGGCATCGCAGCTGAAAGAAGCGAAGGATAGAGAAACCATGCACATTGCACAGCTGATGGAAAAGGACAAGACAATAGCAAATCAACAACTCGATCTGCTCCGTGCGAACGAGACAGCTAGGGAATTGGAGACAAGGCTCCGCCAAGCCGAGAAGACTTCCGAAACAGCAGTCAATCAGCTGTGGGAGAGACGTATTGAAGCGGCTAAAGAGGAATTGCGCGACGAAATGCGAAACGTTTTGGCTTCCACAGTGTGTGGGACGGATCAGAGGCTCTCTATAGCGGCTTCAGCGACCATATCTCAAATGATGCTGGATGACAAAGGCCAATTCCATGATATATGGAAATGTTTGGTTGTTTTATATCACATTATATTCCAAAAAGAAAACATCTATATGCATTTCAAGGACGAACTTACTCCCTGGAGAAGAACTAAAAGTCTCAACAGAAGCGGCATCCAGTTGAGTGTACAAGGTAAACAGAAAATGGAAAAGTACGACAAGGAAATACAGCATGTCATTGACAATCGGAAAAGAAGTGACCAAAATTTAGATGCAGTGTGGCAAGATCTTGTGAGGGTGTATAAAAAGTTGTGGCCTTTCAAAGGCCCCAAGCCGGAAGCATTGGATTGGTGGAGTTTATCTACCCAAGAACTATTACAAGCAGTGCCTCGGACTAATCTTTATTTTATTTTCATTCAACAATGTTGTTATCAAAATGCATAAAAAACATGATACCATCATATATAAACATAGTTTAACCCAATGACAGGTACTGAACTGTGATCGTCGCCTGGCACCGTCACATCCAGAGCCATTCATACCACCGATTGCTCGCAGAGCAAATGTCTTGAGATCGAGCCTATACAATGCCATCCTTCATTCTGAAGATCACTTCCAACTGCCTTGGGCAATGAACGTCCTAAGATCCAAAGTTGACGAAGAACTGAAAACACACAACTTTGGTAAATCTGATGGTGTTTGTGGTGTCGTTCATGTCTTGAACTTGAAATCCAGAACAGCAGCAGTGCTAAAGGTCGGATACAGCTCGTACCCCAAGCTTTTCGATAAGCATGGTACATTGAAAAGATACAAAAACGTCTTTGCGCCAATGGCTCTGGAACAGGTTGAGGCCATTCATATCTATCAGAGCCCACGGCGCGCACATCAGGTTGAGGAGGAACTTCATCGGCAACTACGAGGAAAATTTGGAAATGTGAATCCACATAAAGTAAAAAGCAGAGAACTGTATAAAGTCGAGCACTTGGAAGCAATCTTGGGACTTCTACATGAAATTGAACAGAAACCTTCCGAACCTTCCTGCCAGGAAATGACCAGCCGGCAGACAAAAAAGGCAAATGAAAATATTCTCAAGCGTATTCCTCGCGAGTAACTGTGGTGTCAAGAGTGAAGCGAATAGATTCTCACTGTAGGATCTCAATAGTCAATCTGCCGTCGTGCACTCTCTCGGGGAAGAATGTTGCCGGGGAAAAAAAATGTGCTGTTACCATTCACAGCTTCACTTAAAATTCACATGTTACGAAGTTTCCACCTAGCCTTTCCGAGCCACCATGTATCTATGATGTATCACCGACATTGCTGTTGTCGACTCCTGCACCCGGATGCAAGTTGAGGGTCTCAGCAACTGATGAACATCCACGGCTCCTCAAAAGCTCAAATGCAGTATTCAGAGTCGTCACTGCATGCGATACTAAAATGAAGATAAAGCTTGATTTTGTATGATTTTGTCATGTAGCATGCTTTCCGGCTTGCATTGTGAAATATTGTGAATATGTTGATGTGACTGCACCCAGCACCTGACTTCAGACCTAAAAGATCCTTGACAGCGAACAGGTGGATTCCCTGCCGTCAGAATGCCGTCACGTTGTTACTTCGCACCTTCGCAGATGATTGGCATCCATATGCATGTGGTGTTGGATTGGTATTAGTTTGTATTCTATATTCGTATGGATTAGTATGTATTGATAATCATTAATTACAGTAGATTACAGTAGTATGTATGAGATGTACGAGTATGTATTAGCGTTACAGCAGTTTATATAAATATATGCCGCAACTGCCTCTTCCTAGCCATGCCGTGATGCCATGGTGAGAAAATGATGCCGTGAAATGCCGTGAAGCGCCCATGGCACTGTCATATTCCTATTTCCTGTTTTTCCTGCGCGTTTACCATGTTGGAGCCTCAGTGCTGGAGTCATGAGTCGATGCATGTCGATGCAGATATTGCAGATATCTCGAGATGGTAAAGGGCTTTCCAGGGCACGGGTGTGTTTGCAAACCTGGATTTTTTGGAAGTGAACACACCTAAGCAAAATGAAACACAGTTGGTGTTGTCATAGAAGAAGCCTTTGCAGGATTATCTCAAGTAGGCAATGGCATACCTTTGTCCCTTCCGACTACTGAGGTTTGGTGCATGGTGCTTGGACTGTTCATGGCGCTCACAGTGGTCATGCAGGACTGCAAAGTCATAGGAATCCTCATAAAGATGTAACCCCGGAGGACCTCCAAGGGTTGAAGGGAAGCAGGAATGTGAACAAGCACGGACAGCTCTTCATGCAGCAGAATGCAATCCATAATTGTACACTGCTGATACCTCATGACATACCTCGAGACAGCATTTTGTTTACAATTCAGGCACAACAAATTGCAACAAGGTGTCCCTTTGCTTTGATGCGCAAACAATCGCAAACATTTCAAGATGAAGGAGTGCCGGTTGAAGAAACAAACACAAGTTTCCACTGATAAATACATATAAATACGATAAATCAATATAAATCAGCCGCAGGTTGGATTGACCATGTACATTGACTTTATGTCCAGCAAATGGGTTTATCCATATGGTCCTGGCCTCGCCTTACTGGCAGCATGCAGCTGGACTGCGACTGCAAGGGATTGCAAGGGCGACTGCTGATAACCTACTGAAATGCTTCGTCCCCAATTAAAGACATTAAACAGCCATAAACAGCCCATGGGTTTAGTCATCCGGGGCTGACATTATCACTGAATCACTGAGTAAGTAGTTTGGAGCTCTCGTTGCACTTGTGAACTCCCAGTGATGCGCGTACTTTGCTGAGGTCTAAACTCAATATTGCTGTTGCAGCTTGGCATCAACACATGTGTCAACACAGTAGCGCAAAAGAACGCCGTTCCGGTTCACCATATTTCGTGAGTTTCATACTTCAATTTCACATCCAAGATTGCAAAAGATTTTATAAATGCTCTGCTGAGCATGCTCAGCTAACGTTTCAAGTCATCCTGCCGCCTAGGATTGGTGGCACAAAACTTTGCTATTCTGCTGTCTGGTTGATGCAAGATGCTTGGCGGGAAGATTCTTTCCTCGCCTTCCGATCTTTGCTTCTGCGCGGCGCTCAGAGTGCATTCCCTGAGCATAAAAAGTCAAAATGGAATGATTGGAAAGGAAATGAGAAAGCCTGGGATAGAATGGGTTGTGATATGTTATAATTTGTTATGATATACTGACTCTGATATACTCTGATAATCTCCGATATACTATGATATACTATGATATACTACATACATATGTCAGTTGCATTCACTTGCGCATTTAGCCGTGCACATCTCACTGACAACTCTTTTATCACTGATATCTTCAGGATATCTTTCCTCATTTTAGGTGCAGACCTTTGCACAACCAGCTGGGAGTGCCACTGATCCTTGGCACGGACGATGTTTGAACAGCTGAAGCGACTCGCCACACAGCGCTAATACCGGGCATAGCGTCGCTGAGGAAAGAGCGCCACAGCTTGGATCGAAAGGAGATTGCCAGGGCATAGCCAGGGCTGGGTTGAAATGGTTTGTTTAGTGGTTTAAAGATGTTGATTTCATATGTTTTCAGATGGTTGTCAGATTATCTGTCAGATTAGTGTTGACCCTGGAACTTGTGAATTGCAAGGATTTGTTCTTGCAGCTTGCCATTTGTGTGCCCTTGGATGTGGTGCCGCTGGTTTTTGGCCTTTGGGGCAACTCAGAATGCTTCGCTTGCTACTTGGATCATCAAGCTGTTTTTGATTACTACCTCCAGCCTGGGGTGAGCAGATGCTATATTCCTTGATATTCCTTGTAGACATGGCCTTCTGATGGTCCAAATTACTGCATGCAAATTGGCAAATTGCCATGACATGTTCCAGCCCTTTGGAGATGACCAAATCCATTGGCCTGATTTTGTTTGAAATCTTAGTTCCTAAGATGTGTGTCTGTGTGTATGTGTGCATGTTGAGATGTATCGTTCCTATTCGGTCCTAAGGTCTGGCCCTGATGTGCTTCTTGGAAGTGTTGCTTTTCTGGTTCTTGGAGGTGGGAGGAATCGTTTGACCTTGTGCTGAACCTGCGGATCAACAGCTGTAAGCAGAATGAGAAACCCCATTTTTTACCAAAAGCTGTCAACTCTATTCAACTCTATGCAACTCTCCCATATTTGAAGCAAGCATGGAAATGTTTGAGCGCCGAGCAGAGGGTGTGTGGTGCCCAAGTATGTGTTGCACAAAGAATTGCGTACACACACACATAGTATACTTATGTATACTTATTGCTTACCTATACTCCTACATAGTGTTACATAGATGTATTAATACACGAGATTACACATGTGACATGTGTGAGTATTTTTTTTAGATGTGTCTATCATTGTCTATCCAATAGCATTAATACAGTCTTGATGGAAAACCAGGTCCAGGACAGGCTCAGCTCTTGCAGGTGGTTGATGACTTTCGCTGCAAGAAGCGTACCTTGGTCGCCTTGGTGGCGCCCATTTAGAAACGAAGCGCTGGCTTGGCTGAATCTCACGCCGGCAATTGGTACTTGTTTGCATCTCGTTTTTTTTTTTGCAACTCATCGCCTCAATTCCCAAAGCTTCGGCCGAGGTGCCATACAAAAGTTGCTCCTTCCGAACGCACCAGGGCCCCTTGCAACCTCGTCAACACCGGAACTGCACTGAGTTGTTGAAAGTTGAAAGGGGCTGAGAGTCGTGAAACTTGCTACATTTGCGCCCTAAACAGCATGGGTATGACAAGGCCTCCTTTGCAATCTTGCTCAGTGTTTTGAAATGATTTGAATCTATGACTCATATGTGTCACTGGAACGCATTGGAATCCAGGAAACCACAAGGCATCATGACAACAGCATTGGAGTACATGATATGTGTTTCTGTCCGTGTTGAGGCCCTTTCACCCAGCCTGGCGTTGCAGCCTCTGGAGGCGTCCAAAAAAAATCCTGCCATGTGTCTGTGTTGGACCGGTGTTGGACAAGGGATGGCTAGAGGATCAGTATGATCAGTATGGACCAGTGTGGATTAAGCTGAAACAGCCTGACAGGTTGCCCAGGGGCACCCATCCAGCAGCAGCTTCTTTTGCGATTCAGCGAGTTGGGGACTACCCTTTTCAAGACCTTTGAAGGTCGAAACTCCCAACTCAGACAATTTTCCTTTGGCCTTTACATAGCTCACTAGTGGTGCATTGAGTGGAGAAGTTCGAAGGCAGTGAATCTGGGAAGCCAGATTAGCAGGCTGCCTGATTTTGGACGTTCTTAGGCTTGTGGTCGCTTGAGAAGCACTGGTTTAGGTCAAAAGAACATACTTGTACACATTTATAATATTTTATAATCATTTGTCTATGATTTGTACCTGCCTTCTTTCATTGTCTTGCTGCTGTCATTTCTACATATGTCTACTAGTCCACCAAGGCTTGTCAAGACCATCTTCTGAAAGCCTTTGGCAACCGGAAGGGTTTGGCTCTCAGACTTATGTCGCCTTCCAGCAATCATCCACAATCATCCGCAGAAAAACAAACAATATGATCAGATATGATCAGTAATTATGCAGTATGCATTGTATTTTTTCCGGATTGATCCTACTTGCACTTGTACATACTTGTACCATGCAACATGCAGCCATTCCTCTCGATTCGATCGCCCTGGGCAGGTGCGAAGTGCTGCGAAAATCGTTGCTGCTTCGGCCATGGAAGCTGTTATTGCTGCTGTTGACCCTGATGATTTTGGCAACTTGCCTCAGTTTTGTCATTTCAATCGAACATCAGAAGACTGCTTGTTCCATTTGTATCCATTTGTGTCTTGGTACAGCCATGGTTCGGGGCTGTCAATGAGAGTATGATCAGCTGAGGCATTGATTGCTAAGACCACAGTCCTGTCCCTTGGACACGCAGATAATCCACTTGCAGTTGCTGGACCATGCCCATGTCAACCCATGTCAACCCACATACAAGTGCTAGGGTTAAGTCGTATCAGCTTCTAAAAGTCGTATCGGGAGGCCGTGCGCCTGGAAAAAGTTCAATTTTTAGTATCGCGTTGATTTTTAAAGCTTAATTGTATTTGTTCATTCTTTCAAGGGGGCAAACGCTGGTTGCTGCTTGCTGCTTGCTGCTTGCTGCTTGCTGCTTGCTGCTGCTGCTTGCCCGCTGCTGCTTGCCTGCTGCTGCTTGCCTGCTGCTGCTTGCCTGCACCATCTCGCACCATTTCGCAAGACGGCGCAAACGGCAAGACGGCGCGAGACAGCGCAAGACGGAACAAGACGGAACAAACACAACAGACGGCGCAGCCGGAGCACCGACAAGACCTGCCACGCTTTCCGCCCGCAATGGAATGAAAGGTTTTTTCCAACTCGTAATCGCTGGGTGGATAGGACAACAAACTTTCTGAGAGCTGCCCACGACCTTGATGCACATCCCGCCAGCCATAGATTGGGCTGCGGAAAACAAGGGGTCTCCATATATCCTTATATCAGGCTAGATCATAGCATTCATAGCCCTGCCAATAGGATTTGCTACAGCTAACCCATTTGCGTTGCAAGAAATTTGAGGCTGCACCGATAGGGGTTTGATGTGGTCGCGCGACGCAGGACATCAATATAATATGTTCAAATCCAATAGGAATAGCTGCCGAGAAATTGTTTGTATTAACTTGCGCCCTTCAAAATCATCGCTGTGCGCAATGCTTCGGCTACTTTTAACTAAATCTCTAATTATAGATGAAACAGGCTGTGCCATGGTGATTCTTCCCTGATGTGACTTTCCACTACCTGATGTGACTTTCTGTATCGCCGCCGTGCCATGGGGATGATGTGACTTTTCCCGCATGATGTGACTTAAGCACGGCGCTCGTAAGGGGATTGCCGGGGCATTTTGATCTGTAGAGGTGGCTCATCGCCCTTGGTGCACTGGTGCTTGCTGCAAGCCATTTCTACCGCTCTTGGGCCAAAGGCAAGTGGTCCTTCGTGAAGGCCATGTGCCATGGTCAGTAGAACAGATCTCTCGGTCCCAGAAAGATCAGAAAGACTAGAAGAATGCTTATTAGTTATGAGTCATGAGTCACGAGTTATAAGTAGCAGTTATGACATAATGCCAAAATACAACTGAGGAAAGTGTGTGTGTGTGTGTGATTGCTGCGGATTGCTGGTTGTGCCAAGATATCTAGTATTTCTTCGGGAATTGCCAAACTCCGATTATCAGAATTTGCCACCGGATCGCAGTCTGTCCCGGTCACACAGGTCCATTTGGAAAGTACCGAACACCGGGAAGACCTTTGCGAGCCTTGGACATTCGCAATAGATGGTCAAACCTCATGGGATGAAAGTTGACCTGGGAGATGGATTGGGTTTGCTGATGCAATGCGCAAGAAGCGCCAGCTATCAGCACCTGCGGGTGTGTCACATGCCATGGAAACGTATCAGACGTATCAAAATATCAAAGGGCACGGCTCCACTGAGGAATCGGTTGATGAAGATTTCATGGTCATCAAGCCGATTGTGCTTTGGTAAATTTTGTGGACTTGAGAACTTGGGGACTGAGCGTAGTTCTTGAGCCAAAATGGGGGGAAATGGTCAAAAGATGTCAAAACCAACCATTTGCAGATCATGGTGACAGAACTTAACGATCATTATTGTTTTCTCGCCTACAGTATATAAATGTATATAAGATGAAACCAACGATTGCATAACATTTCTAGATACTGGTGAAAGCACGTATTTCAATGGCGTTCGTACAGTCATCTGGACCCATGAATGTAAACATATGTAAACATAATGATCATAATGGTTGATGCCTGTGTTTGGATGAAATTTGCGCTGACTATTTGGATGAAACCGGCCATGTCAAAATGATGAGCACAGCACCCATGAAAATCGATTTACGGCTGATGATATCTGAAGGTCAGCACTTGTGCAACACCACGATCACATGTGCAAACTCATGATCACAAGGTGACCCACTGTCCGCCCTGAGGCCTGTGCAAACTTGACTGTGCCTATGGGCTATCAGATTGTCAATGATGGGCTGCTGTACGATCCTTGGTTTAGATTGATTTAGATATTCAAACAGATTTAAACATATTTAATTAATCATACCCAATTTAATCATAATTAGTCATATTATCATATTTAATTTAGATGTTCACTATTCTTGACTGGGCCGGGGTGTTCACCTGGAAATGTCCGCTCAGGATGGGGAGGTGCGTGATCGACTGAAGACCTATCCCGTGGCTTGGCAGGTTTTGTGCTGTGTTTTGCAGTCATAGCTACCAGCTATGTAGAGCCTAGAGACCATACATACAGATTTGGTTGGTAGTTTCATGTATGTTCTACAGTAGATATTCCTAAGATGTTCGTCAGATTATGATCCCTGCGCAAGATGTTTCAGGGGAGCTGAGACCATGTGAGACCACCAACCAGCGAGATTCCATGGTACAAATTGGTACAACGAGAATCCTGCGTGGAGGTCGGGACCACTATATACTTTCGACAAAGACCTCTGGGAAAATGGTGCAGATTCTTAGAAGCTCGTTGCGGGGGCAGCCCCCAGCAGATGTTGCTTGGAGCTCACTGGAGCCTGATGACCAAGTCTGGATTCCAGATTCACTATGACACTGAAACAGAATGTGATTATGTGTTAAATGCCAGTTAGGAAAGGCAAGAATGAATGAAAAGACTCCTTTTCAGGTTCTGCTGATTCGCTGAGTCTTCTAGAGACGCTTTGGACTCAGGTTCGAAAATGGTGTTGCAATTCTTGTGGTGGGTCTTCTGTGCTGCTCTACCCTATTCCAGGCCTTTGAAATCCTACAAACACGCACAGATTGATTCCAAGAATGACGCAACAAGACTGGCTGCGACAGGTGGGATACCTTGGCAGTGGCTTGCTATTTGCCACCCTTCTGGTGATTCAAATCTCGCCTGCGGCTTGTGCAATTTTCTTACCGGAGCTGGCACCGTACCTGCACGCAGTTACTTGGCTCAACAGGCTCAAGGACACCAGCAGTATCCAGCAGTGTTCTTCGATGATTGCATGATTTGACCAGACGGACTCAAATCAGGCGAAGGACTCTGAGCAAACACATTACAGTAGCACTCAGTGGTTGTAACCGGCCAGGGGTTGCAGCTCACAATTTGTCACAGTTGTAACAAGAAAGGACTGTCAGGCTCTCACTTGATCCACACCAGGATGTTCATTGCCCTTGCTTATTCCGCAGACCCATTGGTTCATCATCAGCACCATTCCCCCAAAAAACAGCCAAACACTTGAATTCCATGGATATCGGATTTTCCATGATATTCTATTCCCATCATATTCCGTGATAGTCCATTAATACTGTAGCATTCCATTGATATTCCATCGATGTTCCCAGTTTAAAACATAGAAAAGTCATTTGAAAAATAAGTTGGTGGCAGATTCCCCATTCAAATGATCATAAATCAAGGCGATCTCGTTGACCTTCGGCCTGTTGAGTTTCATTCTGGCGCTGGTGGCGGCGCCTTGGAACAGCAACTCGCCACAGCAAAAAACGGGCTTCTCCAAACAAAGAATCAATAATGGGATGGTATACCTAGTGACCTAGTGTACCATGACACCAACCCCAATTTATATCAAATTATCGCACATCTTGACAATTGATGAATTGTGAAAATGATGATACACATTGGATTTTGGTGGTACCATGGGGTACCCGATGTTTGAAACAAAAACAACTGCTTAGCGGGCCAAGATAGGATTTTGTTGCTTAGATAAGATCACATTGAACTCATCCTTGTCTTCACGCATCTTTAAGGCAAGACATGCTAACCGAAGGCTTTGTTTTTTAGAGCCCAGGAGCAATAATGAGCAACACACCTCAACACATCTCCCGGTTGGCACCTGCCGACCAACATCCTGAAGTAAGGCATGACATTTTGGCTGATGCCTATTTTGGCGATTTCGACCCATTTCCTGCTCCTGCAGCGTCGTTTTCCTCATTTCAGAGCGGTCTCGGTGTCACTACTGACGCTCATAACGTTTCTTGGAGAAATTGAAGATTGAGAATCATCTCCGCCCGCATCTTTCCGTGTTATTCTGGTTCGAGTGGGGCAAGAGCAAAGGTTCCCTTTCTTAGGGCCGTACAAGGGAAGGCTGTATGAGCAAAGGCTGTATGAACAAGGCTGCTTCCTATGATTCGAGAAGATAACACGTGTTTCTTATCTTTTGTGTAATTATCTATGATATTGTCGTCTCTTTGCGTGATGTGCAGCACTGCACATCGCAAGGTTGAGTCGACATCAGTTCTGTCATGAAGTAAAGTTAAGGGTCGGATGCCCCCTCTGTACCCCCACCTATGTTTTACCCCAGGTTTTATCTGAAAGACGAAGAAATCTGGATGACAAAAGTTCTGCAACAAAGACTATACAGGTTTATCACACCTTCAGATATCAAGAGCATATTTTGATTATTTTGGATTTATTAAGATATTTTGTATTGTTTTGTACCTTTGCCTGTTGCTTCGTCGTTCTCGGAGTTGAGGCTTTTGTTGGCTCTATTTCTCTTCCTGTCCATCGATTCAGCGCTGCAACCGGTGACTCCACCACCACGAGAACCAGATGTTGGCAATTTTACTTTTCCCGTTCAAGGCCAGAAATTTGTGGCAAATGCATTTTGTGGATTTTTGTGGTTCCCTTTCAATGTTTCCAAGACGATTATAGAATATCATAGAAGCATAGCTGTATTGGCTGTGGACCCAGTAGCTGCAGTAGCCTTTGTTCCTCCAGGAATTCATGGGAGCTATGACCTCGAGTGTAGCTTGTCATTTCCAACATCGCATCCATCGACTCTCGGTATGAAGGAATATGAAGGAGCTCAGGTCAGAGCGGATTGCGGTGAGAAGCTGTTCAGGAGAGAACACGTTTGTACTTGGAAGGGTCAAAGGTGTTCAAACCTTGAGACCAAGAGTCATCACGAACTATTGATTTCTACTGCGACACCAGATAGCTGTTCTAATGTAAGTTATGATATGTTATGATTATTGATTTCAGAATATCTCAGATAGTCGCCGAGGATCTTTTTGCGGTTGGCCGACTTTGGTTTTTTGAACAGCGCTGTGTACCAGCTCCTTGGATTTGGATCAGGCATCGCCCTGCGCCTCGGGGATTCCATCCAGCCATGTTCAGCTCTGACATGGACATGTCGTGACAAGGCCAGATGATCCTCTCCAGCGGGAACTGGCGCTCTTTTCAAACGACTGGCAAGTAGTTCATTCGCATCGAAGGGAAGTCCTGTGCGTGTCCTCCTGCGATATCCAAGCAGCTTGGTGGATCTAGAGATTCTAGAGGTAGCCAGCTGTGGCTTTGTGCTTTGTCACTCTTTGTCCAAAAATGTCCATGTTGTGGATGCGGATGCTGTTGACCCAGCCTTGTGTGAGGACTGGGCCACATGGTTTGCGTTCTCCGGCAAGAATGGCACAGGCCTGGAGAATACCACGATCCTGGTGATTCGAGGCGGGGATGCAGAGTCAACAAGTGTCCCATGATGTCCCAACGGCATCCAACGGCATGCAACAGCTTCAATGCCGCAGCCAGGCACCAAGACAAAGCTTGAGATGATTTTCGATTTGGACTTTTGGTCCTTGCAGATTCTTGGCATCCAGCACCTGGCTGGTCGATTCCTCGTTGGCCTTGGTTTCCCTTACAACGCATTTTGGAATTCTCCAACTTTAGGCGCGGACAGAATGTGTGAGCAGAAGCCGGAATCTATAGGAATATGTATAGGAATCTATAGAAACCTATAGGAATCTAATGGAATCCCAATGGAATCTAATGGAATCTATATGAATCTATATAATTATATAATATGCAGTCATTGCACGGGCACCATGTCATCATGACATTTCCTGCAGGCAGATGTTGGTTTCGATCAAAGCGTCGGCGATACCAATCGATTCTGACCTACTTGAAGGATCTTATCGAGAAGGAGCCACATCGAACAATTTACGTACCTTGCCAGCTTGCCTATGCCTTCCTTGTCTTGCATCACAACTACTTTACTCATGGTATGTGGAAACACAGACTTGCCAGATTTGTCATGATTTGTCTACATATCAAGTGTACTTGATGATACTTTATGTTATCTGATGTTATGCGTATACATACCCGTATAGTAGGACTGTAGGAGGACAAACCTGTTTTATTTGGTCTGGTGCTGTTTTCCTAGCTGCTTGCACCATTTTGGAATTTGGAGCCAAAAATTCTGATTTGAACGCTACTTGCAGCATTTTGGAGCACGTGGAAAGTATTTGCACCATTTTGGAAAGGAAGGAAGAAAAAAATGGAAGAGCTTCTTGGGCTTGTGGCTTGTTGTTTCATGTTTTTTGCTTTTTGGCTTTTCTGATTTCACCGCTTTTCAGTTCTTGTGACCTTGTTGGGCTTGTGGTTTTTATGCTTCGACTTTTTGGTTTCTTGCTGTTTAGCTTGTTGCTTCTGAATTGTTGTCCATTCCGACAAGCAAGAAGAAGAAGAGCAACAAAAGCATCCAACTGCCAACATCCAACAACCAACGATCAGAAGAATAATGAAAACAAAAAAGGTAGGGCAACCACACTTGGTTTTTCTGGGGTGGAGGGCGCAGCGCCGCGCCACCACGTCATGACTTCTACAGTTCCCCAGCAACAACACCAAACACTAACAGCGCAAGCAGGAGCACCAGCAACAACAGCAACACAAAATGAGAAAGTGGAACAACAACCGAAAACAACAACAATGATAATAACAAGAAGAAGAAGAAGATGCAACAAATTCAAAAACAACGGACACTGAATTCCAAAATGCTACAGATTCCAATCACGTGACAAGGTCCAGCTCCAAAATGCAAGAAACACCATGCAAATGGGTGAAAGTGCAAGCTCCACAATGTCGCCAAAATGCTGCAAATAAGAAGCAACACAGCCCCGTGCCCGAAAATGCGTGGAATGAACTTCGCTGATCAATTGATCAGGTCAGTGGCCACTCGTTGGGTGGCGGCCTGGCACATTTAGCCCTTCAGATGCAGTCAGACCAGACATCGGAGCCCTTTGTGACCAGATGTGAGCAGAATTCAAGTAGATCTTTGTGAGTTGAAAATAGTTGAAAGGCATCTCAGATGGAAAACTGCCTGATAGATCCTGATAGAAGTGTGTATATATAGCATTGTATAACCATTGCTGGTTCTGTGGGTCAAGGCGGGTCAAGTGGGTGAATGTGGGGTCAATGACCTACCTTGTTGGTCGTGCTGTTTTTTCCCCCCGGACATTTTGTTACATGGCCCTTGCATGGTTCCAACCATAGGATCAAATGAATCCAAACATTATCTCGCAAGATTTAGGAACTGTTCACATATGCTGCATTCACCTTCGCAAGTGCATGCAGTTCAGTTTCTTTGATGATAGATACCAGTAGTACCGCACAAGGCGGTGGCGGAAGTTTCAAAAATAGGAAACCTATAGGAGAGGTTGGTTGTTGTGAATCAGGGATGGCAGAGCGAAGCCACTGATGGACTGAAAGGTGCTTGATCTCTCTCTCTTTCTCTCTCTTTCTCTCTCTTTCTCTCTTTTTCTCTCTATTTCTCTTTCTTTCTCTGATGATCTACCTACCTACCTACTGATCTATCTGTTTATCTATCTATCTATCTATCTGTCTGTCTGTCTGTCTGTCTATCTATCTCCCTATCTATCTATCTATCTACCTACCTATCTATCTAGCTGTCTAATTTTCTAGCTATTTGTCTATCAAAATCTATCCATCCATCTATCTATCCATCTATCTATCTATCTATCTCTCTCTCTTTCTATCTATCTAATCTAATCTCATCTCATCTCATCTCATCTCATCTCATCTCATCTCATCTCATCTCATCTCATCTCATCTCATCTCATCTATCTATCTATCTATCTATCTATCTATCTATCTATCTATCTATCTATCTATCTATCTATCTATCTATCTATCTATCTCTCTGTCTATCTATCTATCTATCTATCTATCTGTCTGTCTGTCTATCTATCTATCTATCTATCTATCTCTCTCTCTGTCTATCTATCTATCTATCTATCTAACTATCTCTCTCTCTCTTTCTATCTATCTAATCTAATCTCATCTCATCTCATCTCATCTCATCTCATCTCATCTCATCTATCTATCTATCTATCTATCTATCTATCTATCTATCTATCTATCTATCTATCTATCTATCTATCTATCTACAAGATCAAAAACGAAGAAATTCTGCGAGACTTCCTTAATGTTTGAACATAACAGCGTCCGAAACGAAGCAATTCTGCGAGACTTCCTCATTTTTCGAAGTTGAAGACATCAAAAACAAAAGAATTCTGCGAGACTTCCTTCAAAAATGGAAAGTTGAGTGCAGAGCTGACAGCCTCGTACCAATGCATTTTGCGATTTTTGCAGTCCACCTGTCTAAAGTATTGCGCCTGCCACGGAAAATTGATGCCAGGTCATACGAAGTGCTGCACCTGTCACGCAAAATCATCTTAGCAAACCTGCACATCTGATACTCCAAAATGCAACCCCTCTCAGGAAATCAGCAGCCTGACCTAACATCTCTCATGAACATGTCCTTTGTACTGCGCCTGCCACGGAAAATGCATCTTTGCAGATCCTCGTCAAATGTCCCATGCCTGCCATCGTTTTTGGAAATGCTACAAAACCCTCACGTTTTGCTCACTTTTGAAGAGGTGCACAATCCCTTGCGCCTGCCACGCGAAACGACATCTGAACCTCCAAAAGTGGCGCGAACATGTAGTGTTTTGTACATTTTCACTTCGAAATGTGCTTCGCGCCACAACGGCGTGCACTTTTTCGACATCTCAACTGCCAAAAGTGGTCCGGACCTGGTGTGCTTTGTACATTTTGACTTCGAAATGTGCTTCGCGCCACAACGGCGTGCACTTTTTCGACACCTCAACTGCCAAAAGTGGTCCGGACCTGGTGTGTTTTGTACATGTTGACTTCGAAATGTGCTTCGCGCCACAACGGCGTGCACTTTTTCGACATCTCAACTTCCAAAAGTGCTCCGAGACCCAGGTGTTTTGTACCTTTTCACTTCAAAATCTGCTTCGCGCCACAACGGCGTGCAACTTTTCATTTCTCGTCTCCCCAGATGTCTCCGCACCCGCCGCTTTAGCGAGCCTACTTTTCGACCCTCCGGAGCCACAAAACATCGAAAAAACAGTGTTTCGCGACTTTCCTATTTTTTCGCACACCTGCATCTTCTTTCTTCTGATCTTTTCTCTTCTGACTTTTCTCCCCTCTGACTCTGCTCCCGTCTGGCTCTTCGCACCTCTGCTTTTTCATCTGTCCATATTGTCCGAAGTTTAACTTCTAAACTTCCTTCGATCATAGTTTTGCAATCTATTGGAATTCAGACTCCCCTCCGTTTGTCTAAAATGCCGCTCCGGGTGCCGCCATTCTTGGCCAGGTTGCAACAGAACTTCAGCTGCCGGCCGTGACGCTATCAGCCCCCGGAGTTGTAGAGACTGCAGGGCTCTTGGGCTTGGAGCCGTCAATGCTGCAGGCAGGAGACCTGTAAGAGTTACCGTAAGAGTGTGCCAGAGTGCGTCTATAAATGTGAGTTCACAGGGCAGTCCTATTTTACTGGACTGGTTTTGACATTGCTTTTAAAGGGTTTGGGTTTGTTGCGGTGATGTTTGGTTTCGCGGGCCTCTCGATTTGATCTCCTCCCAGCAAGCGCTAGGGCACTGTGAATGTGATCCCCCACGGTCCCTGGACAGAAGTTGTGACTTCACGCCGTACGCCGTGTGGATTTGAAAGATTGGAACGGATGAAAGAGATTGCACAGCTGGTGTTACATATCCAAATTTGTTCAATCGGATTCACATCCTTTGGCACAGTCTGACTGTGCCTTCCACGTCACTATCCTAAGGCGATCCAATTCCAGCGAATGGTGGTACCCAGGGTGGCATTACAGTTCCAATTCCCTGCCTTCTTGGACAGGACGGATGGTAGGATGTCAGACGACTTTGCTTAAGACTTCTTTCTCTCATTGTGTTGCGTTTTGTACGCATCAAAAGTGTTTGAATCTAAGAAGCTTACACTTGTGCAGACTTGGTTGGTCCGCAGGGCCCAGAATGCCATAGAGTGTTCAACACAATTTGTCTCTTTGCAGCATTGGGATTGATCATTCCTTGACGCGGAAACAGGTGTCTTCATGGATCTCCTTTGGGTCGACAGGTAGCGTCGGATTGACAGCGCGAGTCATCTTGAAGCACTTTTGTATGTTGCGCCTCCAAGGCATGCTATTGAGGCAATGTGGAGATCCAAGACAACGTGATATTCCGTGCGATTTCTGTCCTTTGGAGGCGCAAAGAGAGGCGACGATTTGACCAATCATCCCTGATTCTTCCTGGCCTTCAGGCCAGACATCATGCAACTTGCAGACCACATCAAAACAAATATCAAGAAATTGAAAATATATAGATTCTCAAATATATATATATAATATTGGATGCTTGGGTTAAGTCGTGCTTGCTTGTGTGAAGTCGTGCGGAAACGGTGTCCCTTTGCGGTTCTGGTGTTCAGAGATGCAAAATCCTTTATTAATAGATTTTTTTTTAGTAGGATAGTCATATCTTCCCCAGGCTTGCGTGGATTCTGATTGCATGTGCCGCCGTCCGTTTTGTTTCCAAGTCTTGTTAAGCAAGTGGGGGAAGGGATGGGAGTGCGGTAAATCCCTGAGTTGCGCAGGGCTCGGGCAGGGCTTACTACCATTTCTGAATATTGAAATGTTTGAATTTGAATCTAATTTTTGTGTTTGCTGTCAAAGATGTCAAAGGTATCTTGCCTTGAAGATGATTGAATTGAAATAGAATGATCCATGGTCCATGGCATTTCGTATTTCAAAAAAAGAAACAACAAGTAAATATTACTTCCAGATTTGGTATTTATATATATATATTATCTGTGAATGGCTAGCGGCTCCTTCCAAAGAAACACCTGCTGACCCTGTCAGCTCCACGAATCCTGCAGTGGCCTCACTGTTTTATGCACCCAAGCTCTGAAGTCTCACGGATTGACAGCTGTACACAGCTTCCAGGCAACAGCCATCCTCGGCTAATCCAGACCAGCAGCAAATGGCGTCAAGACACCTATGATTCCCTCCCTCCGCAACACCAGGGCTCACCGAGCCAGAAGTCTTCGATCATGCCCATGCACAAGTGGTTTTGGACCCTGGCTGGAAGATAGTGTTATGGAGGAAGTGGTCATGGGGCTTATAGTATTCTGATCAAATGTGGATATTTCACACTCGCAAAACTTAATTTTAATTGGCCACACACATTTGATCAGTGGACGTTTTGAGCCATTTGAGTCTGTTTCGTGCGGACGCTCGGTTTTTGAGTACCTCTGCTGAGTCGTGCAGGCAGTACTTTCCTTGTCTAAGTGTTTCTCTTAAAAAATTCGCCTCCATAATTTTGGTGAGGGAGTCTGCAAGTTGAGCTCCTGAGTGAACCCAATGGAGATGAATTCCCTCGATCAGAATGTCCTTGATTGAGCGTGCTAGCAACTGTGTCCTGTATTCTTGGCAGTTTGGTATGGCTGTTCGGGTGGTTAAATCGTACAGGCTTTTGCAATCTGTGATGGCAAGGTCATGGTGGTCAGCTTTGTAAGTAGGAATGGAAATTGCAGGAGGGAGGTTAGTTGCCTTTTCAGGTTTTTGCCATTCGACTTTGGGATCTAAAATCCATGCCCAGTAAATCCTTACCCACGTGAGTTGATCGAGAGTGGTTGATAATGCGGATGTTTCTGCTGATAACGTACTGGTTACAATCCGTTGAATCTTTTTGGTACCCCATGAAATCGGACTCACGTCACATGATTGATTTTGGGATATTTCTTTGTGGGTTGCAAGGATAATCATACCGGCATGGGATTCAGGTTTACTTTTCGAAGCAAACGAGGCATCGGAAAACGCAATAAATCTGAGATCTTGGGGCCTTATTGGTTTGATTTTAATGGTCACATCGCTATGCTTCTTTGCAGTATGTAAAACTTTGTTGGCCGTCACTAATGTTCCAACAGTGGCCTTGTTGATTTCGGACTGAAGATGGCTCAGGGCACTTGAAAGATCTGGATGGGTGTGAACCGCGGCATACTGCAAGGAACCAATTATCCCTCTCAATTGATGGCGTTCCACTTCGGTGACTGGTTGGTCTTCTTGAACTCTGCGGTCAGGTTTAATGGAAATTGGAGAAATGCTGTTGACGTATTTTGTTTGTGATAAGTGAATGCTGTTATCAGGTTGTTGTTGCATGTCAATTCCAGTGAAAGTAAATGATTTTGACTTCTTTGATCCAAATGGGTACTTGGCTTCCAGTTTGGAAATTTGTTTCATAAAAAACTCATCTCCTCCATGGATACCATCATCCACATGCACTCCTAGAATGCCGGACAGCTTGCCTGTTGTCGGATGTCGCAAGATGTACACGCACGGATCAAATGGACTGGGCTCCATTCCAAGCTGCATTAGTTCATCGCACAGTGTTTGGAACCACAAAAATGGGGCATCTATGAGTCCATACGCTGATTTGTCCAATCTGCAAACTTCATTTGGCTTTAAGTCCATGGCCTTAGCAAGCTCGGGAACCGGTTCCAGACCCATGATTCTGTCCTGCTGAGGTCGTCCTTGCAAAAAGGCTGCTTTGATGTCAAACGATCCCAGACTCCATCCCATTGATGAAATCAGTTGCAACACCAACATTTTGGAGATTCGACCCAAGGTTGGGCTGTCTCTTGGAACTTCGGTGATGTTGGGATCTAAGTATCCGAGTACCACAAGTCTTGCTTTGGGCTTATGAGTGCGCAATTTGGATTCTGTCTTTTCTGTGATTTTTCCTTCCGTCTGCTTTTCTTCTCTATCCTTCCATACTAACAACCATCTACATCTCAGGATCTGTTCTGGTGCCAATTTGTCACGCAAGACTTTGGATACGGTTCCTGTGGAAATCCAGTTATTCACTTCTGTCTGTTTGGCCTGTTTGAATGCCTGTTGTTCTTCTTGGGATAACATGGAGAGCTTCACTTCCGTTCGTTGTTTCTTGTCTGTTGAAGCTAACAGGATGGAATCTGAAGACATCTTTCCCATCTGTTCTCTTGAGACATGAGAGGGCATCTCCACGTCAAAGCGCCAGGCACAGGGTGTCTCCTCTGGGGAGACTGTCATGATTTCATCTTCACAACACAAGAGGTGAGAGGTTATCAGTGAATCATCATCATCATTTTCGGGAATTGGAGTGTTCACATGGTCATTGTCTTCGTTTGATGGATTGTTTTCTTCCGGTTCATTGTCTGGTTGTTCTTGAGACTGACTGGAGTTATCTTTACTTGGTGAGTTATTTGGGGTTATGTTAACTTCTGGACTCATGGGGTTATTTTCGGGACCATTTTCATCTGGCAAAGGTTCTATGACCCTGGCGGTGACAGTTGGTGAATTAGACTCCATGCTCTCTTCTGGCACTTGTCTTGCTTCAGCTGAGCTGACAGGTCGGATATGCTCTGGAGCTCTTCTATGTAGCTTACCCCCCATTGTTGCCCACACTGATAAGTTGGATTCTTGTTGGATTACCTTTAGAGGTCCAAACCAATATCCCGGTTTATTTGTCTGAGGCTGCCACATCATGACCCACTTTCCTATGGCATATCCGGTGCGGTCTGGTCGTGACCGACGGAGGCATGCTCGGCGTAATGCCATGTCATTGTCTGCCTGATGGAAGGCTATCCGAGCCTTTTCCCTCAGGGCCAGGCTTTGCCTGAATTGGATTCCATAGGCATCTTCGCGATTTGCACTGGCATGTGCAGACATTTCCTCAGAACTGGCAATGGACCCAGGTAACTTGGAACTTTTCCCAAAAACCAAAACTTCTGGTGAGTACCCTCGGCGAATGCTCAAGCAGTTTTTGGCATGTGTGCACTGTATGAGGGCTTGTTGGAGCTCTGCATAAGTGGTTATTGGGTTATCTGTATCCAGCTCATCTAACATGCTTTGCAATATTTTCCCATGTCTTTCGCATCGGCCATTTTGCCAATGAGCATGTGGAGCTGTGACCACCCCCCTCACATCGTGACGTTGCAAAAAGGTCTCAAACTCCATGCTGGTGAACTCGGTAGCTGGGTCCATGATCATGGTATTTGGAGGACCTGCCCATTGGAACCAGGCTTCGGAAGCTCGCAACACTGCTTGTTCTGCGGCTCGGCTTGGCGCAGGAATTGCAACATGAAAATTTGTGGCTTGATCAATAAGGTGGTAAAAATGAAACATCTTCCCTTGTTTTGACGTCCATGAAATTCCATCGATGAAAACCTTGTTATTGAAGTCCAATGTATCTTTGAATGTACTGGGTCTTGCACTGGTTGGCTGTTGGCATGACATGCATGTGGGACACTTCATATCGAACACAGCTTGGGTCAATTCTGGACGACAACCCTGGGTTCTCAGCACTGCGCTAAGCCTTTCGGCACTGGGATGGCACAAGTTCTGATGTGCCCTGCGCAACATTGCTTGCTCCTCTTTGGGAAGTGCCATGAATCTGACCCCATGCTCGGAACTGCTTGGGATTTCTCTTCCATTGGGTTTCATTTGTGGAGAGGAATTGGACTCACATGTTTCCACATCTTTTGGGACTTCTTGGGACGATTCCATGTCTTGGATCTCATTGGGATTTGGCTGTTCACTTGGATGTTCTGAGGCTTCATTGTTCTCTGGGTTATGTGAGTTCCCTTGAGTAGACTCCTGATTAGGTGGCCTTTCAACTTGGGGTTCCAGCCTTTTGAATTCTTCACGACTTCCGGAGGAGTCAGGTTCCTGTGCGGAATCATGGTGGGAACTCTCTGCAGGTTTGGGCGCTGAAAACATCGTTATATTCACTCGGCACGCAGGTGATTTTCGGATGATCTGGCGATTGGATAACTCTGCATATCTCTCCCATGTTGGGTCAACAATGATATTCAGGTTCTCTCTCAGTTTCATTATGGATCTTCTCAACGGTGTTTCGATTGCATTCAATCCTTTTGGGGGTCCCCAACGGCGATCAGTTCCCTTGCAGGCCATTACCTTTTTGATGATAACATCAGGAAATTCCTTTTGGAGGTCCTGTAGAATGCCTGGACTATCGATCTGTTTCTTCCCAACTCTCGGAAGGATGGCTTCAATTCGATTGGTGATTTCCTGGATTGTGGCCCTAGGCTGTGAATGATGTTCTGCCTGTTCACTTTCCTCATCATGTATCGATGTTGAGAGTTTCACTCTCTTCCCACTCTGCGGTTGCTCGAGTGTGTCAGTTTCAGCATCATGTTTGACTCCCTTGGATGGAGCTCTACGGGAACACTTGGAAGGTCTCTCCTGAGCTGTCGCTGCCAAAATTTCGGTCGGCAGGCTGTCCAACACACACAGCATGGGATCGGCCAGTGATCCCACAGGTCTTTCCAGGGGAAATCGGTGTTTCATCATTTCTTTGGCAACCAATCGGGCAAACTTTCTTGGGTATGTTTCGGTGAACTTGGATCTTAGCATTTTCTGGCCATGCACTTGGGTTGATCCTTCTATAGTCTGGTGCACATGATTTTTGGGGTATTTTAGAGGGTCCAACGTCTCATACATTTTCTGAGAGGAAGTGTGAATTTCCAATCCCTTCTGAATGAATTGATTCGTTGTGGGGTCCCGCAAATCCCCTGCTTGGCACAAATCTGGTTTGGCGGCCATCATGTATCGCTGAATTTCTTGGACATAGGGCAATTTCATCATGTGGGATCTCTTGGGCTGTTCCCAGTGTGCATGTCTTTGACATCGGTGCTGATATCGGCAAAGGACGAGACACAACGCGACTTGTGTAAGCATCATCCACCTTTCGTCATTGACATGATCCCATGCTTCCAAAGACCTTTGGCTATTGAAATTTGACCAAGAACTCCATGGACCACAGACAGGACTGACCCAGATGTAACGGGGACGATGTCGGATCACAAGTGCAAACAGCTCGCGACGACCCTCAGATGTCATCAGATTACCTTGGTTCAGCCCAAACCGTTTGGCTTGGCCCCCCAATTGTGAAACCTGGGATGTAAGCTTACTGTGGTCACTACAAAACACTTCCAGAAGATCGATGGAGGCAGCAGGCTTTGGCTTGATGATGGCAGCGGTTTGGCTGAGTTCTTTCTCCATTTTCCGAACTAAACCCTAGAAATGCTGTCTCTCTTTGTTGGGGCTAGATTCACAAAAGCTATCTATCTCCCCTGCCTTCAATGCCCAGTGACAACTCACATCGTTATTATTGCTTAATTGTTCCAGGGATCGTCCCATCCTGTGGTTGCAGTTTCCGGATGACCTTCTGGGATCATGGCAGGACTTGTCGTTGGTCCGCGCGACATCAGCGCGATCATGCGCTGCATCGCATTTTCCAGGCTGAGCAGGCGAGTCTGAAGGGCATGAATGTCCTCCCGAGTCTCTGAAGCCTCGATCCATGGTGCTTCGCTCATCATTTCGAAGGACTCCACCTCGGACTCCGTCGGTACTGGCATTTGCATCGCTGGGGCTGCATGGCTCTTTGGACGAGCGGCTAAGGCTTTGGGCAATGCCTTGGCTGATGGCTGTGGGGTCTCTTTCTCTGATTCCTCGATCATCAGTTGAATGAACAGGATCATCTTCCGATGTTCGGTCTTCGTGCTGGCTGCATAGTGGCTGAGGAACCATTTGATCCATTGTGGATCGCTGTCCCAAATCTCCTGGAACGATTTGCCCATGTGGGCCTTTCCAAAGCTCATGGTCGTGGCTTTGAGCTCGGTCAGGCTCAAATGCCCGATTGGCTCCACTTCGGAAACCTGGGCATAGCTTGCTTGCACTTTGGACAGGCGATGGCTCCAGCTGCTCATGCTGATCGGATGTAACTTTCTCGGATTGGGAACTGCGGGTGCTTTGAGTGAAAAACTTTGGTGATTCGGATTCTGCTGAGAGGCTCTTACGTGTAACAGGTTGGAATTGGCACGACAGTGACACTGACGGTGGTTTCATGTGATTTGCCTGTTCTGTCTGACCTGTTACCTTTGATATCGAGTGCACATTGATTGGTGGCTGGCTTTGACATTTGGCTTGATTCTCATACCCGCCTTTTTGATCTCTGTCAAGAGTCTCCTGTGCATATGTCTCTGCAGCGGTCTCTGTGCTCCCAGGCACGGGTGCAAGGGCAAACAACTGATTCATGTTGATGAGGTACAATTCTTTATTGGTCAATTCAAGTGGAATTTGTGCTTGAAACTTTGGGATGATGAGTTTGTGATGGCATGTGTCGATCATTGCACCTATGGCCCGGAGTAGGGTATTGGACACCAAAAACGGTGTAGCTCCACTGACAATTGCTATTTTCAACCACATCCCACATACTGGCACTACAATGGCATGGGTTGCTTTGAGTGTTCCCTGATTGCCAAACCGAAACAACACTTCACAAGAACATCGTTTGACATGTTGACGGATTTTGGGGTCCAAGTGATTGAGAAAACTTTGAATATAGTTGCTTCCCATGACTGTCTTGGTGGCTCCGGTATCAACAATTCCCCAAGTATTATGTGTGACAAACAGGGCTTCGGCACTGTCAGGGATCTCTGGCGTATTGAGGCTCTCAACTGGTGTTGGAAACACTGGCAGGCCTGCTGCTTTTGAGCAGGTTGGCACACTCGGTGGGTCTCGGCTTGTCTCATGTCCGCGACAAAAACGCAAAATGCGCTGGCGGGCTGACTCATTGGATCTGGGCAACTGCGATCGTGGCTGTTGGTGTCGCAGCTTCTGTTCAATCCTGTACACGAGGGCTTTCACTCCTAGATTAGTCCCCTTATTACCCTTAATATGGTTTCTAATTGCTTCCCGGACATCCCTCATGTTACTATTAGGAACATGTGGCTGGGTGGTGCTTTCAAATCCTGGCATGAACAAAACTGACTGTACACACTGTGGCTCTGTGGACAAAATGTCCTTGGCACTGGTGGAAGGGATCTCCGGCAACATCAGGAACTCGTCAGGCATGGCTTGATCACTCGATACAGGTGTGTCGCCGAACGACACTGTCATGGCGGCAGAGGCAGTTGCGGAAGCTGTCCCTTGAGGCTTATTGGGGCACTCATTGCGCCAATGACCTTTTTTTCCGCACACTCGGCAATTTGATTCTAAAATCCTTTGCTGAAGTGATTTTCGGCCATTCCAGCCTGGTTTTCCTTTGCCTTTTCCTTTTCCATAGCGGCTCTTTCCTTTGCCAATTGGCCAGAAACCTCGTGACCTGAACTTCTCACTCAATTTCCTTCTGGCCTTAACATATGTGGAGTATGCTGCTGCTAAGTCATCATCACTTTGGATGACTTCACTGGCAGCCGTTTCAAAATCGGCTATGAAAACGGCATCATCGTCTCCCTCAGCAAGCAGTGCCTCAAACATGTCATCCTCAGTCCATTCATCATGCTGTGACATATGGATATGGTCCTCGGTTTCAGTGTTTCCTTCGATGTCATCGGCAATGAAGGTGGATACATCATATACTTTGGACTTGCTGGTTTTCTTACCCTGACCTGTCATTTCATGAAAGAAAGCTGTGCCAAGCATGCGAACTGCTTCTTGTACACGGCTCACTGTGAGTGATCCTTCCAGAGACGAGTCTGAGTCGAGGATGATACGTTTTTTGTCTTCCCCTGAAAGCTGTGCACCCCTCAAGGTGATGTAAGCTTGTAAGTCTTCCAGTTGCAATTTCCGGGCTTTTAATTTCGACCACAACATATCAGCTCTGGCTAAATATGAGTCGTGGCTTTCATCGGACTGCTGATTGCATTGAAAAAGGGCTCGTTCAGCGTCATAGTAACGTTTCTCTAATCCGGTCTTTCCCCACTGCCCACCTAGATACTCTATGAATTTCTGGACGGACTTGGCCTCATTGTTGCAAAGCTCCGTATGGTGGATTTGGTGTTTTGCAAAGGCAGATCCTGTGGTGCTGAGGATAAGTCTCGTCACCAGTTCAGAGATTCGATTTGACGGCCAAACTGACAGCACAAGCTGCATCTTCTGCTGGTACTGTACATCTGTAACTTATCTTTGCTAGGGTCAAAATTGGGAACCAACGTTGCAAGCTGGTTCGAGATGCCCCCCTGGGCTTCACCTCTAGAACTTTCAGACATAGCTATGGGACGACGGTCTTGATGATCACAGTCTCAATGCACCGTCTTCCAACACCAGATCTTAGTAGCCCTGGATGCTCCCTGCTTTGTCGGAGGCAGGGAGCTCCGCTACCAATGTGAATGGCTAGCGGCTCCTTCCAAAGAAACACCTGCTGACCCTGTCAGCTCCACGAATCCTGCAGTGACCTCACTGTTTTATGCACCCAAGCTCTGAAGTCTCACGGATTGACAGCTGTATACAGCTTCCAGGCAACAGCCGTCCTCGGCTAATCCAGACCAGCAGCAAATGGCATCAAGACACCTATGATTCCCTCCCTCCGCAACACCAGGGCTCACCGAGCCAGAAGTCTTCGATCATGCCCATGCACAAGTGGTTTTGGACCCTGGCTGGAAGATAGTGTTATGGAGGAAGTGG